ATACATACTTTTAACACCACCATCACCATTAACAACACTATTACCAACACTATCACCAACACCATAACCAACACCATCACCACATCAACACCATCGTCAACACCATTATTATCACCACACCAACACCATCTCCAACACGAATATCATCACCATCATCTCATCCATACCATCACCAATACCATCACCATAACCACCACAAAACCATCACCACCATAACACCATCACCATTACAACACCATTACCACCATAACACCATCACCAACAACCCCAACACAATTTTAACCATCATCACTAATACAACAACAACTTTTACTTTCATCATCATTACCATTTTCAACACTAACACAATAATCATCATTAATTCCGTCACCATCACTTTCATCTTCATCACCTTCACTAACACCACCACTAAGACAACATACAGACAGGTCAAGAAACTCGGCAGCAGCACACCCACGTCTTACAAGGGTCCACAGAGCGACACCTCTCTTTTTGCACAGGAAAACCCCGGCGCCATGATGAGTGACCTTCTACGAGCGTTGCGTCACACTCACTACGTCACAGTGTAAACAAGCCGGAACTACGGGCTGGGTGAGAGTTTAATGTCTCACCTTTGTTAGACTGTGTCGCCAACTCCCCTGTGTCGTCGCTCGTGCAAGAGGAGGGAGTGTTTATGTCTGTTAGGGAACGTCTACAGTATGTTTAGGTAGGGTACGTTTAACTGCGCTGGGGAGATGGTTGAGAATATTTTTTTAATGGATTAGACTCTGCCCCTGATCAACTGTTTGTACCTAGTTAAATGTGTGTAGTTTTCGTGTCAGCTAATAATAATAATAATAATAATAATAATAATAATAATAATAATAATAATAACACTACTAGTACTACTACTAATAAAAATGCTAACAATAATACTAATAATTTATTACTGGGTTTCAAAGTAGCCCTTGACAAAATAGGCCACTTGCCTCCTTCCTCGGCATGGTCACCTCTAGTGGATGGTCATTAGGTACATAAGGTAATACTAATATTCATACTAATAACTCGGTCATGAGGAAACATAGGACCCATGTCGATCACAAACAAGGGCAAAGACGGAGACTATAACATCGAAAGGCCATGCTAATCGATGGTCGAATATTTTTTAACCCATGAAAATCTTACTGAGCCTCGTAAAGAACAGATCTTACGGATAACGACAGGAAACGGACATGAACAACGAAACTGGGAATGCATTAAAAATTAGAATTGTAAATGTGACGACACTAAACGAGAAAAAAAACTAGATTGGTATAGATGATGTAGGAAATACCCTGCGTGTATTAGAGACGTGTGATGAGTTCCTGCGTGGAAAGAATATTGTGGGTCAGTGAAGGGATTATTGTCATTACCACAAGATTATAAAATGAAAGTAGAAATTTAATACAGGCTACCAAAAATAAATTACGAATGAAGACCAGAGGGTGTAAGACCTTTGGGAAGTCGAAGATGAGATGAGACCAAAAAATAGAGAGGACGCTGACCTAACGGGTGGAAGGTGAGTTTTATTATTATTATTATTATTATTATTATTATTATTATTATTATTATTATTATTATTTTTATTATTATTATTATTATTATTATTATTACTATTATTATTATTATTATTATTATTATTATTATTATTATTATTATTATTACTATTATTATTATTATTATTATTATTATTATTATTATTATTATTATTATTATTGTTATTATTATTATATCGTTCAGAGATCATGCCTGAACGCAGCAATGTACTTTATGATGGGTTCTACCCCCGTGGTAGCCGCTGTAAGTGGAGCACAAACACGGTGCATTGACCAAATGAACTGTCTTCTTCTCTTTGTATAAGTTTCTTGATTACTGTTTCTACAATCAATTACGTGTTTCGTTCCTGAAAAAACACACCTTTATTTATGTAGCTGGGATGAGGTGAAAGTACTGATTTATTTAAAATACAACGTGAAAATAGAAACATGTATAAGAGGGGCGTCAAGGGAAGCCGTACATGGTTCATCCTTGGCGGGGAAGGAGGGGCAGGGCAGTGAGAGGGGCAGGGTGGGTCACCTGTACTGGACTCCTGCCTGGGGCCGGGCTCACCCTCCACCACTCTCACTTTCTCTTTTGCTCGGAATTCCCCTCCATGTGGCACCTCTCTCCTCCTCCCCTCCCTAACACTCCTCTTACTGCCGTCTCTGCTTTCCCCACCTCACCAACACCAGCCCTTCACCGACCGTCACCTCTCCCCCAATCCCCCTCCACCCATCCACAACACCCACTACCTTCACCCAACCACAACACCCACTCCCCCGGTTACCTCCACTCCCACAACTTTACTGCGTTTTCCGAAGGTGAATCTCTGTTTATTTTTTATTTTTTAAATTGTCAAAATAATGAAGAAACAATAAAACAAAGGTCATCGCTCATTACAAGTAAGCTGACGTAAACTTTAATGTGGGCTGAACGATGACAATAAACAAGTGTCCTTAACTATTGTACTGTAGACGTAAGTCCACCGTGTATCGTTGTTGGTCAGTGATAGCGTACGTCAGGCGTGGGTTGTCAGACAACATAGTGACTACGAAATCAGCACTCTAGAGAAGACTGGGTGGCCAGGGATATGATCCAAGAATTTCCTCCCAGTGTCCTCCTTTCTCCATAAACAGTTATTGGTATTTTAGGTTCACGGAACCACACATAACCTAAGAGTTTCTGGTATGTACAAACTACTTGCATTTCCTTAACCCTACAGTTTCACCTTCATTTCTTCATAGTTTTCAGCCATATCAGAAATACCAGAGACAATTGAAAGCCTTTTTGCTACCAAATATGTATATATATATATATATATATATATATATATATATATATATTGTGTATGTAGGTGTGCGAGAGAGTAAAGTTTGTGAAATTGCCCAGCTTATAAACTATGCAAAGTCATTTTACTGTATCCATTTCGTAAAATGGTTCCTATCCTAACCTAACTTATCGCAATCCTACCCAACCAAACCTAATATAACCTAATGCAAGCCAGCCAACCTAATATAACCCAACCTAATCTAACCTAGCTTAAGTTAGGTTGAGTTACGTTAGACTAATTAACTTTACCTAGTTAGTGAAAAGGGCTCCTAACCTAACCTAACCTTACCAAGGTTAGGTCGGGGTGTAACACACACACTACTACTACTACTACTACTACTTTGCTGTCACTCTCAATAGAGTATGACTAACATCCAACTATGATACAACGATATGAGTTATTAAGGATGTCACCTAGGTTGGTGAGTTCTGAGGTAACTAAAGAGGCCGATACGGGACCGACAGAGACGATCACAGATGTTGCACATTTGGGGGGCTACATCTAGTGCGGGAGGGGCGCGCGCGCACACACACACACACACACACACGTATATACGAGTATATGCGTGCTTATTTTTGATGGGCGTATTTTATAAAATTAAAGAAAAACATATGTATGCCTACGTCAAACGTTTTTGTCTTCCCAAAAGAATTTGGAATTTTTAACAACATGATATAATGTAAACACAAAATATGAGTAAATTATAGGTAAAAAATGAAGACAAAATTTACGAATCAAAGGCAAAGAAAAACAGGAAAAAATCGAATACACTTTGCCACTACTGTGTCCAAACTTGAGCTTCCTTGCGTAAAAAGTTCTGTGATAAACACGAGGAGTAACCAATGAGTATCCTGTTAAAGCTTCACGCACCAGTTGGAGAGCGGGAGAGGGTGGGAACAAGGGAGGGAGGCTAGTGGGAAAAAAAAACTCAGCACATCGACACTCTTTAAATCTTAACAAGTGAATAATAATAATAATAATAATCATAATAAAGGCAATAATAATGAAAATTTGAAAATGATGGCCGGGAGCGTGAGTGTGTACACCTCAACTCCGCAGTTCAATGGGTTTACTGAATGGGGAGGTTAACTGGCGTACACTACTCCTCGCTGGTGCTGTCTCTGAGTTAACTCTTACTTTCTCTCTGGCGCAAGGAAGACGCACTCACCGCTCCCTTCTGATGAGTCACTACGTTCTGTTGACAATTATGTTAGTGACTCTTTCATACCTCGTACACATCCTCATTATTTGTCTGTATCTTTGTATGTATGTATGTATGTACGTATGTAATCTATCTACATACACACACCTCCACTCGCCATTCCTACACACCACATCCACTTATGCAGCCATACCGTAAAGTGTTAACACCGCAGCAACACCTAAAATATCTAATCAAACACTGTCCGAGCGAATGTAAAATCTTCCCCGTGAATCTTTACCACTTAAAAACACTGTTATCATTACGCGAACTTTTTACCATGGCAACACTTGGTGAAATTCTACCACGTGGACATTGTCTGATGTTGGTTAAAGCTGGCAGGTGTGGTGCAAATCCGCAAACGCAATCTCCATTTATTTTAGGGACAAGAGTCAGACAGAAAGACAGACAGGCAGCCAGGGCCGAAAGCAATAAACTACCCTGTTCTGCAGTTGAGGGCACGATATTGAAGGCTTCTATACTCTAATCTTGTATAATCTGTGTCAAATTGTATGTTAGCATCACGCCTTTATTCATGTTCAATAACAGAAAATTAATCTTTAAAAAATTGACTAATTCAGAGAAGTTACATTGACTTCGATTTTAAGTTTGGATATTTTGATGTTGGTCATGGTGGTTTTGTGGTTGATGTTACTGTAAAAGAGTTTTGATGCATTTAACCAATGTTTGGTGTACTCTTACCCATTTGGCTACAAAAGTTCTATCTACAGAAAACATTATAGTGGGTTGATATGCTGCGTCGCGTGTATTCCGACGAACATCTCACTTGTACAATAGGTGGCGTGGAGGACGTGGTTGATAAGGCTCGCTCACACTCGTCCTTCAGCAGCGACTCAGTTCAAAGACCCGGATGGAGACTTCACGAGGAACCTTTCATCAGGTGCTGGTGCTGGCTGTATATAAGAGACCACACTCCGGGTCAGGAGTCAGTCAGTGCCGAGCGTCCTCCCCTTCACCATCGCTATTACAACTTATCTCCCTCACTCAACACAAATTTTGGTGAGTATTTCTTCCTCTAATAAGAAAGATTGCGTTAATACAGTACTTTAAGGCTTTCAAATGGTAATTATATATCAGGGAGCATTCATTGTAATTTAACTTGATGTTTTAATTTGCCTATATATATATCAAAATATTGCTGACATTATACTTTTCTTATTTCATATAGTAAAAATGTTCTTTAAACGACAGGTCACCTCTTATAATTCATATCATATTTACTTAAAAACGCTTTAGTTATCCCTGATTCACCTTACTTATCCCCCAACCTTCCTACATCAGACAATGCCGTCCACCGTGGTCACCAGCACCCTGCCCGCTGCCACTGCTGTCATGCATCAGGTCGACGAGAGCCTCCGTACCCTCGGTTTCGATCTCAAGAGCCTGGTCAAGGCGTTTGACCTGCAAACAGTGGGCCTCTTGACCCTAGTTGTAGTGGTGGGCATATTTCTCTTTGATCTGCTCAACTACGGATACTCTTCTTACCAAGACGACTCCTCCACCTACACTTCTTACGGCAGGAGTCTAGTGACCACCGCCGCCAGGGTGTGGGACCACAGGGAGCAGCTGGGTCTTAACCCCTACGTCCGTGGAGGGTGAGTAGTGTTGGCGTCACTGTTGCTTAGCATTAGTAACATAGTCATGAGATATCATAACGAAAAGGAGTCTTGAAATTTTTGTCAACTAAAAGTCGGTGAAGGCGAAGTGAGATGCAGGTGACTGATGGTATTGAACTAACGTATGACGGTGCAATTAATGGTGGTGTAATTAATTATTTTACCTGACATTCTTTTCAGTAAATTTCAAAGTATTTAACGTTATTAATATATTATTAACATTAGTCACAGATCAATCCAATATATCTATCCGTCTATCTATCATCTACCTACATACCTATTAGCTATCTAAATTAAATAGTATTTGGACGAAGGCCCTACACCTGTATTTTAATCCTTTCAATCGGCATTAGCCGATTCGAACGTGACTCATTCATTGTGGTTTTACCATATATATACTGTACTGTATAAGCGGGACAAAGCAATTATTAAGCAAAACAATTATGGTGATTTCAACGGGTGTACAACAAGTAATCCACTCACACCTCTCTCCCTCTCCCAACAGCCGTGGCCTGGACTCCATGACACAGATCCTGGACTCCCTAGCCGACGCCGTCCTTAAGTACGAGGATCTAGAGACTAATGACGTCCCTCAGGCGAGGCAAAGCAAGGACCTATAATGAGTACCCTCTACGACAGGCATGTAATCAGTCGGGGTGTCGGACTGGGAACGTCAAGGGGTGAGCTGGTGGTCCAGAACTGCCGGGCGACTCACCCCCTCTTCACATTTTGATAAACGTCGCAGATATTTCAGTCTCTTAGTTACAAGGCATTCTATTCTACTATAGAGGAAAAAGAAAGAAAACTAAAATCGACAAATTCGCTCAGGCTGTCTTCACCACTGGACTATCATGGTTAAGACCTCATATCGCTTCCTCTTTGGGCAAGCTTCGCTAACATGAGTATGGCGACCTTTGCTGGCCAAAGATAAACGCCGCGTATATTCTACAAAAATACTTTAACTGGTTGTATTTATTATATTTCAATGTAAGTTACCTGTACTAGCAATACACTTTGGCTTACCTACTCTCGTGTGTATGTACTGTATATTTATCCTTCAAAACTATTTAATTTCTAAAGTATGACAGAATAGAGTGATAAGATGAAAGGCTCTTTGAAATATGCTGGCAAGCCATCACCTTGAATCTGACTCATGAATCTGTCTTGCACAATTTGTTTGCTAATATAAAGAAATAGCCCATATTTTTCATCATATATAAAACAAGAAAAATTATGGTTATGAATAGTTTACCTGAGATGCTTTAGGTGACTGACAGCCGTAGTAATGGGGAGAATAATACACTGTCATGTTAACTATGCTCATCAGTGGAAGGAACAATAAATATTTTGTAAACCGTATTTAAAAATATGAAAAGCAGTAGCAAGACAGTATTTGAAATCTGTTTTCAGAGATGAACAATAACAACACTACTTTGTAAATTATAAACATGAACAATGTAAGATACTTTATAAATTGTACTTGCTAAAGGGGAAAACAATGACATTCTTCTGTTAATTATAGTCATGAAAAAATAGTGGAACTTTTCAGTAGACTATACGAGTTATTGGGAAACTATTAACCCTCTCCTGCAATTTTTTACTCCTTAATGGAGATATACAGGAAGTTTCAAAGATCGTGATATATATTTTATCTATTATTAAATTTTAAGTTGTTGATGGTCAGTGTTTGTACTAATCTAATATACTATAGGAATAGCCGTGTGTGTGTCTGTCTGTCTGTGTGTCTGTTCTGGGCAGCCGAAACGGCACAATCGTTTTTCATCAAACTTGGTGAAAAAATCGCAAAAAATTCGTAGAGTGGAACAAACCTGGTCCCATGTCGATGGTTTCTTTAAGAAGGCATTAATTAACCATTTTATTTGCGATGGTAAACGATGCAAGTCTACGGACTTGGCGCACCCTCATTGGCTGTACGCTAGGCAAGCACGAGCGTTCAAACTTTCACCGGGCACGAAGGGCCCGCGATCACTTGTCTATACTATACACATAAGCGCTATTACTGGCTAAGCGCATTGATGCACTATAGTACGTAATAACGTCGAGGCTGGGAGAAAGTTGAACATCTTGACACTTATTCTTCTTTATCAGCTATAAACAACAATGTTCAGACACATGAAACACACGTATGTATTGACATTAAAAAGGGAAACGATTAAATAAAATATTATAGTCAAATGACATCATCCAAATCATGACCGGAAGGAAGTCAAACTGTTAAGTTAAATACAGTTATGATAACAACGATCAGTTAAAAAAATACACAATAATGCTAAATTAAATGTAGAAGTATAATGGGTACAAGGAGTTCAACTGACTGTTTATTACAGGAGATAGTTGTGTTTTCTGTTGTCATGAGGAGGGACTATTATGCACAGCTCCATGTCCTGGCTGTGACTGGCACTGATGGTGAATGAGAAGTCTAGTATTGGGTGGTCAAGGCTGTGGTTCCTGAAAGCTGAATAAGATGATATGAGGGAGTAGTTATCTTAATAGCTAATAAAGGTGATTTACCCTCTAGAGGGCAGGGGTTTCTCTCAGCTGAAAAAAATCGTCTGGTGTTAGCCAGAATAAAATACCTAAGGGTTACATTACCGCATAAAGGATTAATCTTTGTCCCAGCATATATACATACGAATAAGGTATTTGTCTTTGGTGTTGAGTCAACACTCATAGACCATAGTGCGACCATTGCCATTTGCGAATTCTTAAACCCGAACAGTAACTAAACTGTAGCGTGGGATGATGTAGTCTGGGAGGTGGAGGTGTGTGTTTATGTGTGTGAGTCAGGGTTTTCCTTTCACTGCTCTGCGGGTCCAAAACAGGATCTACTGACAGCCCTTCACGTGCTCTTTCCTCTCCCTTTCTCTCTCTCTGTCTCTGTGCATATGTATTTGTTTATTATTCAGGTTGTCTGTCTTTCTCTGACTCTATATCTTGGTCGCTGTCTTTGTTACGTCTGTCACTCTCCTCATTTCGGCCCCGCCCACCTTACCATCTCGTGACCTTGGCCGATGAAAGTAAGAACTTGAGCCGGAACTATGGGCTGGGAGTCCCTAGGTGGGGCTACTGACACACTCCACACCTCGACAGGATATTACTTAAATTATGAATAAGAGAGTTAAGCATTACCTAACGTGGTGACAGTACTTCTCAAAACTCTACAGCTGTCATGTATCAGGTAAATTTACACTACGAAGTTGAATATTATGAAAAGGTTCGTGTTTGGAGGATTTTGTTGGCTTGGTTATGTGTATATCTGGTGTGTGCCAGTGTGTGTGTGTGTGTGTGTGTGTGTATGTGTGTGTGTGTGTGACTCATTCATTCCATTTTTTTAATACGGCCATACAACATTGGCAAACGGTTATCGACCTTCTTCCCGACATCACTTTCACTTTCACATCTCCTTATTTCGTCTTCCATATTCCTTGCATTCTATTAACGCCACCTATTGTTCACATGTAATATATTTCACCCTTTATTCGGCTAGACTTCATTCCACAAGACTCCGCTATCCTCTCTCTCATCCTTCCTCATCTATTCTTTCTACTATCCCTTCTACATTCTCTTCTCTCTTACCTGTCCACTCACCTCACCCAATCCCACCTTCTCCCACCCTTCCCCCGCCTTCATACACCAGGTCACAGGATACGTCTTGTACGCCACAAGGGGGTCACCCGGATCTAGGATTACGCAACTCTTTCGTCAAAATATTCTGATAACATAGCTACCTGGCCCCTATGGGTGGAGTGAAGATATTGTCATCATTATCGTTTATGTTGTTAATGCTATTGTTATTGTACATTTTGTTTCGTTGATGATTGTCGTTGTTGGAGACATTGTGATGTATTTTGTTGTTATTACCGGTATTATTAGTATTATTATTATTATTACGTCTGCGTGAACAAGGAGACGCTCGCTGCTGAGGTCATGAGAAGGAAACTTTTGGTAAGGTCCACCTTATGACATGACTTACGGTACCGAGAATAGAAAGTATTGTGTAGAACCAGTGAAAGGAAATACTTTTTATAATCTTGGATCCGGATTGTCAGAGGCTCTGACGCTTACATTCTCCAGGTACTGAGAATAAGGAAACACTTGTAATTGCTTCAGAGTCTTAGTTTAATATCAGGCTGTAGCTTTTGTGACCTAATGAGTCGCGTTTTCTTATCCATTAGTGATTTACTCTATTGGTGAGCATGAGGCAAAGATGTTCAGTTCTTTACCGGGTTCATATATTGACCTCATGCCAAGAAAATTTTTAAACATTTTTCACTGATATATAATGTTTTGTTGAACATTTTACTTTAGCAATGAATCCACAATAAGATTCAGTACCGAGTATTGTCATGAAAGTTCTGGTTAGGATTTACAGGAAATAAGAGCACACAAATAAAGAATTAAAAGACTCGACACTTCCAGGTGCTGACCGTGTCAACACAACAATCAGAGGTGGAAGCATTAGACGGAGATTCACTACAAAAATCACATAAATATGTTGTGAGACATCGTATAATATATAGTTTATATAGAGATAATATTAAAATCAATATACGAATATAAGGTGAATTTTTACCTTTGTTATAATGAGCTGCCTGTACTGTACCACAGTATTAAATTTAGAGAGAGAGAGAGAGAGAGAGAGAGAGAGAGAGAGAGTCTGTCTTTTCAGCTGATACATTCGCCTTACACAGTATTGCTGTAATTAGTGCAGACCACTAACAGTGCTGTCTCTTAATCCCTGGACCTCCTCATCAACATGACCATGGCCAGGTGACCCACGTCCTAGGACCCCCTCATCAACATGACCAGGTGACTCACGTCCCTGGACCCCCTCATCAACAGGGCCAGGTGACCCACGTCCCTGGACCCCCTCATCAACAGGGCCAGGTGACCCACGTCCCTGGACCCCCTCATAAACATGGCCAGGTGACCCACGACCCTGGACCCCCTCATCAACATCGCCAGGTGACCCACGTCTCTGGACCCCCTCATCAACATGGCCAGGTGACCCACGACCCTGGACCCCCTCATCAACATAGCCAGGTGACCCACGACCTAGGACCCGTCGTCAAGAAAAAGTTCATTATTACCTGTACTCCTGACACGATATTTCCACGAGTCACTCTCACTCTCTTCCCCAGTTAACCTTGTGCTTTAATGAATGCCTCTGTTCACCTTGAAGATTATGCATCCGTCATAGCGTCAATTTCTGCAACCTTGAATGTCTGTGTTATTCACCTGCTTCATTAAATATACCTTCCTTGTATCTTGGTTTTAGTTTTATTAATACAACAACAAAGTGTCAATATTTATTTTCAAAAATCACAGAAGTCCTGCTATTTTGTCTTCATTATTTTGCAGAGATTAACAAACTCCTGTTCTCTAGTGTTTATTACTGTCCAAGGTGTACAAAACATATTTCTATTCATTGTTGTACAGTGCGTGATCGTAGTATTATTTCTAAGTGTTTTCCAATATCATACAAAAGTCGTAGACAAATTTAATTTAGTTTTGCATTATCATAAATGAATCACAACTGTTGTTATCACTGGTCACTTCAGTTGAGATATTATAACACTCAGTCTCTTTGATTTTCATTGTAAAACAGGAACAGGACTCTTTAATATTAGTTGTTATTCGGAGGTTAAAATAATTATTTCTCCCTAATTTTTAACATATATCATAACAAATCCATTTGATATTGTCACCCACTTACTGGCTCGCCTCTGAAGGTCATGACGCCCCTGCAAAACATCAACATCCGGTCCACCCGCTATGGGGTATACCCACAAAGCCTTTCATGTTCGTGGTGGTATAAAAGGCTGTGCGCACAAGCCTGAGTATCAGTTAGCTTTCAACGCTCACCCTGTTACCTTACAGACACTCCCAGATCCACTTCGTTTAGAAAAGTAAGAGGAACTCTGTGTTTAATGTGTATTAATGAATTGTGAGAAATATTAACTATTTCGGTGACATACTCGTATACTGGTTCTAACTACTTGACTTCATAAACTAACACAAACTCTTTTTACAGCCATCATGCCTACTAGCGCCCTCGCCCCCGTCATGTACCAGCTGCAGGAGAGCTTCAACAACTTCGACCTAAAACACTGGGTCAGCCAGCTGGACTTTAAGACGGTGGGTCTCCTGGCAGTGGTAGTGGTGGGTGTGATTTTCTTTCTGGACCTGTTCACCAAGTCCTACGCTCCCTATGGCAGGAGTCTCTTGGTCTCCGCTGCTCAAACCTGGGACAACAGGGATCAGCTGGGACTTAACGATGCCGTCCGTGGAAGGTGAGCTTTTTTAGACCTTTTCTGCATTATAAGATATACCTTCGTATGTTACTTTTTCTACATTGTATAATTTTGTCCCAAATTATACAATTTTAACACCAAATATTTCTGGATCCGAATCTCGAGGTACTTAAAGTATTTTGCTTGCACATACAGTATCGGTGTAACATATAGCTAATTTCTTCAACAGTCGTTCGCTGGAGCCATTGTCTAATGTCCTGGACGCCCTGGCTGAGGCGGTGTTGAAGTGGGAAGAGCCTGAAGCCAGCGCCGTCAAGAACCGTGCACTTTGAAATATTGGATTAAGTTTTTTACTGTACCCTGATGGTGACAACGAAGGAGAAAGAAGAACTCGAGGACGTCTCCGCCTGTAGTCGTAAACTATGAAGCTGGTTTTGACTACAATGGCGTAGGCAGTGAAGAAGAAAGACGTGTTAGAATCAGGAGTCACAGCTATACTCAGGTCACTCTGTATTATAAGCCGTTGTTGTTACATCGTGAATCACAACCCTTTGTTAAATGTTTGTTCTCTAACTCATTATTTGTATTGTTAATAATTTATTATGTAAAAAAATACATTTCCTATCAAAGACATTCTATTTTCGTATCCCAGGTTCCATGTATGAAAATTTTATTCGCTTAGATAAAGACCCATTAGTGCCTCAGACATACCCCATGAAAGGAGGTGGTTAGGTGATTGACAGACTTATATAATAGTTCTGGCAAGACAACCAAAATGGTTATACCAATTTCGATTGAGATTTGTAAAAGAAATAGAAGAGAATTATCGATGTCTCTAACTTATTAAGACAGGTAAGTCTTATATCGAGGGGTAAAACGTGAACTTTGACATTAAGTAATAAAAATATTTCTCCTAAATTCCACTCTATAAATAGATGGACATATCATCAGAATTATAGGTTGTTATTGAACATGGGTGCTATATGTTGACCGCAGGTGAACTGATTGACCTCAAAAACTACCAAGCATTTAGGTCAGGGTTTTTTTTTATAGAGAAGAGCAAGTGAAAGAAGACTAATGGTTAGAGAAGGGAAAGATTAGTTAAGAATTGGAAGAAATGAAGACAAGCATCAGCCTTTATTAGAGTTGTGAATAGTATGAGTGCTTTATTTTCTGAAGTTCCACTGAAGTTAAACTTATAAAAAATGTTTCATAGAATTTTCAGGTAAAAACTGATTAAACGGTGACAGTAGTAATCCGTTCCATCCTCTACCGCTCACACCATTATCTTTACCAAAATGTTTATAACACCAAAGGCTAACCAAAATAGAAACGGGCCTAACCGGGAGTTGAACCCGGGACCTCTCGCACCCTAAGCGAGAATCATACCCCTAGACCATCAGGCCGCTGTTCAGTTTGTCTGGTATACTGGAACAACTTTCTATAGTACACTGTGCGAGCTGCGGCACTGGGGGAAGGGGGTGCCTCAGCGCCAGTCTTACGTTTTCTTTGTAACTCTTGAAAGAAAATGGATTGGAAACTCAGTAGAACAAATCTATTTCTCCTAAGCTTATTAGACCATTATAAGTTTAATTTCAATAATTTAATTAACAATACATTCGCTTCTCAGAAATTATTATGACAAATCTGTAAATATTTTACCGAAATACAAATATTTCATGAATGTGGTTCGGAATTAATATGTCAAGTGTTCAAGCCTCGGCACTGACACACGTGAGAAGGGTGTTATCCTATGTGACCCACACTACCCATAGGTTTCCCGGTCCTCAGTTTCCTCCTGTACTAACACTGGATAAACCGCCCAAACGGCTAGTAAGCTGATAAGTGGCGAATAAGATAAAATAAAAATACTCAATATTCCTGTTACAATGTTTCGTATAAATCGCGTAGATGAGAATAATAGAGTTCTATCGCTCATATTTGCTTTATTATTGTTGAACTAGTATATTACTAACCTTTTTACACGCTTAAAGACCTTAGGTGTTGAAGTGCAGTAATAACATTATAACAACAGTGAGAGTATAGGGAGAGATAAAGAAAATAAGTGGAACAGATTTAATATGCTTGAATGGTGAGTTAACAAAGTGCAGATACAGTGAGTCGGAAGTATTTAAGGGATTCAGGGGTAAAATTATACCATATGAGTCTAAATCCTGTAACGTAATCGAGACGAGTTTTTAGGCATGTTAGATTACTACATTTCAAGGGTGCAGCTTGCCTCCAGCCCCCTCCCCACCCCCCCACCCCCCCACCCCCCCCACATTTCCCTACTTCTGGCGCCAAAGCCCAAGTGCGGTGTGTTAAACTTCAGGCCTTCAGATTATCTACGTGCACTCCGTTTCTCTTGACTAACGTTTTTCTGCCGTTTATTTTAGTCTGTATTAATTAATCTTTATTCTATTTTCATCTCCCAACAGTACTCAACAGGAAATATAAGGGTGATGATTATAATGTAATTTTCAAGTCAAAAGCTAACACACTTTCACTTTCATTCACATCTTCAGGAGACTCTACCAGGAACTATGTCTCAGAGTGTAATACCAATACTACAGCTATGTACAGTACACGCTTGGTTTTCAGCATAGTTATGAGAGCGGGTTGGTATTTCAGTTATTATTGTATGGATATAAAAAAAAAATCATATCACTGCAGAATAAATTTACCCTAAAATTAGAGGACCTTCTTTGCCCCAGAGAAGAGAATAAAGATCGTTCAGGGAAAATTGGGATTATTTTCCCTGAACTCTTGGGGAAATGTTGTCTTGTCCCACCACCGATTTATTTTTTATTTGTTTTTTATTTTCGACATTGTTAATTTATTTTTCTTTACATACAGCCTTACTCACTCGAAATAAAAGACTCCCTCTACACAGTGAGTTATCTCATCATTTTTTATTGTTGTTGGACGAGTGCATTACTAACCATATTACGCGCTTAAAGACCTTCGTTGATGAAGCGAAGTAATAACATTATAACAACAAGACTCCCTAGATCTCTTCATGTGAGAGACGAGATCCTAGTATGAAGTAAGCATTCCTTCCTTGGGTTGGTATGCTAAGGCGCTGATCCTTAATGACTAAATACATTATAAGGCAATTCATTTCAAATTATTTCTTGTCGTCCTTCTCCATTAGTTCACCCAGACTATACGACTATCACGCCTTACACCGAAGGCGCCACCAAACTCACACATGACTTACGTTACCTGGAAGAAAGCGACGTTGTCCACCAGGATGTAATCCTTTGTTTTGTCGAAATATTTTCCCAGAGTTATATTTCTTGTGTAGAAATATCCATGGTGAAATAATAAAGAGATGGGGTTTATTTTCTCAAACTATAACAGAGGATTACTCTTAATGACTTCAGTTTACACATTATCGTCAAGGTCCAGCTCAGTGAGGATCCCTCACAACATCCGCTTCACCCGCTGCCGGGATGAACAACTACCTTTCATTTTTGTGGTGGTATAAAAGGCTGGACGCACCAGTCAGTGCATCAGTCAGCCTCCAACCTTCACCGTGTTACCTCAAATTAGTTTCCACATCCATTTCCTTTATATAATGTAAGAAGTGCTCAGTCATAGGTTCAGATACATTAGAAACAATGAAGAATATGAATATTCTCGTCGCTCACAATACATTCATTTCACTGACATACACAGGGGAGAAAATATATAATTTCATGTAAGAACTCTCAGAGAGCAAATAGATTACTGAACTTTACAAAATAATATGGACATTCCTTACAGTCGCTATGGCCATCAACGCTCTCGCCCCCGTCATGTACCAACTGCAGGAAAGTCTCCGTAGTGTTGACCTCAAACACTGGGTCAGCCAGCTGGACTTCAAGACGGTGGGTCTCCTGGCGGTGGTGGTGGTGGGTGTGGTCTTTCTCCTGGACCTGTTCACCAAGTCCTACGCTCCTTATGGCAGGAGTCTCTTGTCCACCGCTGCCCACGCTTGGGACAACAAGGATCAGCTGGGATTCACAGGCGCTATCCGTGGAAGGTGAGCTTTGTTAGTTGTATCACTTTATCTTCTGTCTTCCTGTCTCTTAATTGCCATCTAAAGACAGTATATCTGAATGAATGCAATTTTTTTCAGTCATATAAGGTCACATAGATCAAGATATTTCGAATGATATATTACATATCATTTTTCCGTTGAATAAAACATCCACCACACAGTAGTTTTAGCATCCTTAATAAATTAGTGACAAACAGTAGTGTATCTAACAAATATTTTTTTTTCAACAGCCGGTCGCTGGAACCTTTGTCTAATGTCCTGGACGCCTTGGCTGAGGCGGTGGTGAAGTGGGAAGAGCCTGAAGGCAGCGCCGCCAGGAGCCGTGCACATTAAAAGTCTACATTAAGTCCTTGGCATATTGATGGACGTGATGAAGGAGAGGGGGAACTCAAGGAAGAGACCATCAGTAGACGTAAATCATGAGTGCTGTGATGGCGGCTCTGGTGGAGGCGGTGAAGGAGCTGGAGGTGTCAGATTATAAACACCTAGAGCCATGGCCTTCAGCAGGTCGCGCTGCATTAGAGGCTGTTGTTATGTCGTGAATCACGGCATGACTTACCTCAAGCATATGTTTATAAAACTCATTTTGTATATTTATTGTTTTTAATTTATTATACAAAATATACCTGTTACATTAAGATTTATTTGTTGTTGTATTTGTATCCTCGGATCCGTATATAAAACTCTTCAACCCTGGGAACCGGACCCATTAGGCCTTTAGCTCCCCTCAGTTGAATATAATCGTTAGACGTTAGCCAGAATAAAATATTTAAGGGATCTCGTTTCCGCTAAAGAAGTTTATCGAAATTCAGAGGAAATATACCAAGACAAATACAAATTCCTCCGTAATATAAAGGCAACACTTGCAATATTATTTAGTAAGTTACAGTGAACTTTTAATTATGAAGTGGTAGCAGTCAGGTACAAAATGAAGCTGTTATCAAGATGATAATTAATTAAAGCCATAAATGGAGCTTAATGTAAGGTACGTCTTTTCAACTAGTTGCCAAAGCCGTCGATAACATGGTAGAGTGAAGTCGTCCAGTGAACCAGCTTAGTGGAAGGTTCTAACTGACTGCACAGTCATCTGTTAGTTCGGTTATTTTCGCATTCATTATGATATTTTCTGAAGAAAATATCGCAGGAATAGCTAAACTGGTGAAGAAAATCGCATGTGGAAAATAATGGTGAAATGCAGACGTCATGAGTCAGCGCACTCACTTTCATTCACGCCTTCGGGAGACTCGAAAGGGAGAAGAGTTGCAAATGAGGTGGGGTCCAAGAATTTCCTATCTGGGTAAAGAAAGATTGTAAGACATCCTTCCCCTAAAAACAAACTTTGCCTTTGCTCATTTAACTCAGTTTGCCTTTTAATTAACAATTGACTTATTAGTACTGTACTCGTAACTTCCCAGAGTCTAGCAGCCAGCCAACGGGGAAGAGAAACACTGAGTAAAGAAAACATTAATATATATAAAACAAAACATTCAAATTCAGCCACTTAGCCTACCACACAAAGAACTATATTGGTTAACTGGACGAAAAAAAAAAAACACCCACAGTCAAGTCAACTTCCACTAACATACTGTATTTATTGTGGCGTCGACGAGACATTACAGCTGAAGGTAGTGTTCAGGACAAGAGAGTCGTAAAAAATATGATTCCTTTAAATTGAAAACCCTCATGACTTTATAGTATTTCTTCGGCTAACATTCTGTGAACACCCGGCAAATTAGCCTAAATCATTTACCTGTTTCGGGTTACGAGCCTAAATCGTATGCCACTGTTTGCAGTGAGTAAAGTGACCAGATTAGGTTAGGTAAGGTTAGGTTCTTTTAGTTTTGTTTTTAAGTCCACGATTTCCCTCTGCTTCGTAGCCCTGGTGGGACATAGCAAGAAGGGTCATAACTCAATAAATATGCATTTTTCAAACTTTCATTATGATCACTATTTTTCTTGGGTTAAGAAAGACGTTATCTTCTATTAACAGAATTCTTAATTTTCAGGTTTACCTCTGATATCGCTCCAGACCCATTACACAAATCCTGTTTATGTTGTTTATTAATTTTCATTTGTTAATCAATTTATATAGTGGAATAAATTAGTGAAATAAAACATGCAATATCCTAAAAAAAATGAACTTAGGTTTATTTTATCAAATTCTAGATCCATTTCTTTCAAGCGTTACAATGTAAACGTGTAAATATTTCTGAGCTAATAACTAGAGAGCCCCGAGCGTAGCCGCTGATCTAAAGAAATGTAGGCTAGTATATAACTTAGAACGTTGGCCTGATGGTCTAGTGGTATGATTCTCGCTTAGGGTGCGAGAGGTCCCGGGTTCAACTCCCGGTCAGGCCCGAAAAATTTTGGTGTAAGGTAAACTGGATCTGAGGAATATTAGGAACTTCCGTTTAATTCACCTGATTATTAAACTCACTTACGCTAAATGAGGGCTGAGTTTAATGCACCATTACTTAAATTTGGTTAAAGCTCCTTAAATATTAAATATGTTTAGTAACACTTACATGGGTCTACTTTTTCAGTACTAAGTGTTTCGGCAGTATTTGTAGTTATTTATCCCAGCACTCGATTTACAAAAGCACACCACTAATAAATTGTCATAAATAACAATTGTTTTACCAAGCATCTCATTTCCGTTGCGTTCAGCTGCTGTTATTATAAAAAAACTAAGAACTAAGAGAAATTTGCACCATTTTCAGTACATGTTTGTGCAATAGATTTCTGGAGGCTATCATCAGAGAGCCATTGTTCCTAGAAAATTATACATCTGGCAGTAGAGTTACATAACTGACACTTATGCATGGATCGTGGTATATTCAATTACAAATAATTTTCTTTAAAGTCTTTATTTGTTGTAATAAATTAATAACAATAAATTACGAAGTGAATGTTATGAACAAATGTTTGAGATAATGGCGTGATTTATGGACCTGTCCACCACGAGTTCCTCTCTTCTCCACCGTCTCTATCGGGATATAAAAGACTTCATCTGAAGTCTCAAAGTGCACGATTCCTGAAGGTGCTGTCTTCTGGCTCCTCCCATTTCATCACTGCCTCCGCCAGGGCATCCAGAACATTAGACAAAGGCTCCAGAGAGCGGCTGTTGGGGTATATTGTGGTTAGTTATTTATCAAAGTTGAAACCAAGGTACAACAGAGTACAGAACAGTACAGTACAGAACAGTACAGCACAGTACAGTACAGTACAGTACAGTACAGAACAGTACAGCACAGTACAGTACAGAACAGTACAGTACAGTACAGTACAGTACAAAACAGTACAGTACAGTACAGTATAAGGGTACATAAGCCTTGGTATTGTTTACCTCATTTTATATTTATAAGTAACTTATTGTTTATCGGATACGGTCAACTGAAAAAAAATATACAATAAATCTTAATATTTGGAACTGTACGAAAAATTTCACGAATATTTAAGTGTTCTTCACGTTACAAGAGCGTTGATTCTTTGTCTATACCTAAGGCATAGACGAAGTTGGTCAAAAATCTTAACACAACGGAGATATAACCAAGCTCACCTTCCTCGGACGGCATCCTTGAGTCCCAGCTGATCCTTGTCGTCCCAGGCGTGAGCAGCGGAAGACAAGAGACTCCTGCCATAGGGAGTGTAGGACTTGGTGAACAGGTCCAGAAGAAACACCACACCCACCACCACCACCGCCAGGAGACCCACCGTCTTAAAGTCCAGCTGGCTGACCCAGTGTGCAAGGTCAACACTACGGAGACTTTCCTGCAGCTGGTACATGGCGGGAGCGAGAGCGTTGGCGGCCATAGTGACTGTAATGATAGTTCACAAGAGTGTTTGAGTTGATTTGAATATGAAATAAATCTTGGTAAATTACGAGTCTTCGATGTATTCATAAAATTCACAATTAATCTCTGAGTATCATAATCACGGAAGATCTTACCTTATTTAATGAGTTACCGGGTATGTGTATGTGAGAAGGAGCAGGAGGTAACAAAGCGAATGTTAGATGACGACTGACACACTGGTTGGTGCGTCTAGTCTTTTATACCCACAGGAGAATGTAAGGTTTGTTGTCGCTCCCACAAAGTGTAGACCGGATACTGTTAAGGACCTTTGCTGGCCTAACCCGTGAGGATGGTAAGTAGGAGAAAGTAATTATTGCCATCGTGTTTTATGTAATGAAACACTGAATATTTTTGTATTAATCCACAATTGATATTTATTCGCAAGAAATCTGGTTCTGGAGAGTCATACAACAGGAGGGAGTACAACATCACAGCTGTACATCCGGGTGTTATTGTCATCATCATTCTGGAAAGAGGAAAAGTTACGTTCCTCGAATCACGTGACGTCACTGGCGTAGGGCGTAATAGCTGTCTAAGTTGTTAGGTACGTGAGGGAGGGGATAGAAATAACTTAATGCAAACAATAACTTTTGAAAACTTAAGATATGGTTAGTAAGAAACTCCAAATACTGAATTAAATTATTTATAATTTTACTTTAACATCTTAAAACGATCTCAGGTTAATCAAAATTGTCATTGTATTCTTTCCTTTTTTGCAACACTGATATATATATATTTGATCATAAATTGAGCAGGAAATTTTCTTAGCTTGATTTAACTTCTGTTGGAATTATTGCCGTGAAGAAAACCCTAAAATATAAATGATAAGTGATGAGTTTATCCTCAGTTCATAATTCCCTTGTAAATATATAGATATATTCAACCTTATGATAATACCAATTAGATTCGGAGTTCATGTGGATGGAGTTACTATATCATACACTGAGACAGAGTTCCTGGTCGAGTCTCTTAAGAATGGGAATAAAAGTGAAAGTGTGTTGACTCGTGACGTCACAATACTACACCATATCCTACACACACACACACACTATACATCGTACCTCTGTTATTGGTCCTAAAATTTTTGGGAATATATAAGTAATACAAAGACTACCAAACACATCATCCGGTCAATCACACACACACACACACACACACACACACACACACATGTATGTATCTCATTTGAGCTTGACATTAGTTTACTGTACTTATTACCCAAAATATTGTTTTGATTCTAAACCTTATCTAGAAAAATATATTACAATAATTAAGACCTTAACAAAATCAATATTATATATGTCTCGTTTAACAGTTAAAATCTGGAATATGTCAACCATATAAAACCTGATATTTAACTATCATACATAGAAACAAACTTGCTTTACTGTTATAACTAGGTGAGTTAGTTACTGGAAGCCAGAGTCAGCAGCTGCCCTAGATGTGTTATAATAGGTCTAAGCCTTTTTTTGAGGGTATAACGCTCCTTCAGTGTGAGAGAACTCCTGGTGGTTCAACTTCAAGTCACACTCGTGTTGTGCAGTAGTGTGCGTCAATAATCCAGCTGCGTGGGTGGAAACACTGGTGCAGGACAGATCGCCATAGAGGGATAATTGTGTTAACAGTATTATGTTTCTCTGAATCCTGTCCTTATCTTTTCTATTATTTTGTATCTCACATTTCATGGTAACTATCTGTAAGTTGCAACTTCAGTCGAACTTTTAAAAAACAATAAAAACTTTTGTTCAAAATAACAATAGATGTTGGTATAACCACGTATTTGCTATACATATACTGTATGTTATTCTGTTTCCCAATGTAACTGTTATGAGAGGAATTATAGCTAAGGCATCTTATCTTGAGTAAAAACACATTAATCAGAAATTGGTCAATAAGTTCATTTATAACAAATATTTTACTAACATAATCGCCGAAAATAAACTACCAAACAACTTCTCTCCTCTATATTAATAAATCTACCTTGTTTCTGAAGTGAAATATAAAGTAATATTCAATAATGAGTCAAATTTATAACTAATAAGATTTTAACATAGAAATCCGAGGATAGTAAACAGCAAAACGAAAAAAATAATAAAATTAATATTTTATTCAATAAATTATTAACAATAACTTAACAATGTGAGCGTTATTAACTAAAGGTTGGAGTGATGCCGTGATTCACGACTTAACGGCTTATGCCTCAGAGCCCCCCCTGCTGTAGGCTGTGTTCTCTGGTGTTTGTACTCTGAATAACCCAGCTTCATGGTTCACGGCGACTGACACTGTCGTCCTCCAATTCCTCTTTTTCCTTCATCGCCATCATTAAGGTGGCGAAGACTTTAGCTAAACCTTAAAGGAACACGATTCCTGATAGTGCTGACTTCAGGCTCTTCCCACTTCATCACCGCGTCAGCCAGGGCGTCCAGGACATTAGACAAAGGTTCCAGCGACCGGCTGTTGGAAAGAATTTAATTGTCAGATACTCTAGCATGTTATGTTGGGCCAGATGTCAAGATACATTATTGTTTAATATTTAGATAATATATGATTGTGCACGACAAGGTAATCCAAGTACATTAACTATCAGTGCAAATGTATTTTCGCGCTTCATGCTTCATTTGTACCACCAGGCGTTCGGTTAATAACCTGGAATTATATAAAGCTTTTCTTGAAACTTTAATTACATTCAATAGTAAGAAACGTATGGAAGACAGGAACACGGAAGGCAGTGATGTATCTTACAAATTATAAAGCTCACCTTCCACTGAGGACACCTGTGAGTCCCAGATGATCCCTGCTGTCCCAGGCGTGGGCAGCAGAGGACAAGAGACTCCTGCCATAGGGAGCGTAGGACTTGGTAAACAGGTTCACCAGGAAGACCACACCCACCACCACCACCGCCAGGAAACCCACCGTCTTAAAGTCCAGCTGGCTGACCCAATGTGCGAGGTCAACACTACGGAGACTTTCCTGCAGCTGGTACATGATGGGAGCGAGAGCGTTGACGGCCATAACGACTGTAAGGAAAGAGTACATCAGTGTTTTGAGCTGTGACCATCAACTGCAGGCATAATTATTGTGCACTTATGTTGTTGAAGTTATAATTAAATGCATTATTGCTCTTTAACAAAAAAGGTCTTTAAACGTGTATTCTATGGTAGTATAGTGCATGCATGTTTGAGTTTATATCCTTTATGATTTATGTTTATGAATAAGAGATTGAAAACTTCTTACTTGATAAAGGAGTGTGTAGGAACGGCCTTGAGGTAACTATGTATATGTTAGGTGTCTGAATGATACACTGGCTGGTGCGTCCAATCTTTTATACCACCACAAAGGGAAAGGTTTGTTGTCATCCCCACAGCGAGTGGACCGGATGTTGTGGCGGCACCTTCACTGGGCTGACCCGTGAGGGTGGTGAAGGATGCAGTATTGTGTGTGTGTGCATCCTGGTAGCCAACGGCGTCCTCTTCCTGGAAAAGAAAACGTCGCGTTCTAAGAATTTGGTGACGTCGTAGGCATCGAGCTTAATAGTGGTCAGACATGCGGAACTACCAGAATATATTTATATATATATATATATATATATATATATATATATATATATATATATATATATATATATATATATATATATATATATATATATATATATATATATATATATATATATATATATATACTGTACGGTATATGTAGTCTCGTTCAAGATTTTTCGAACACTGCTGGAGACAACTGGCAACTTAATGCCGTTTGTTTACTATAGTACGTAGTATAATATAATACGAAACAGCAAAGCCCAACCATTAATTAAGCAACGGGGAACTAAGTAACCAATCACCGATAACCTTTTACATTCATTCATAAGTTTTACTACATACTATAATAAACAAACGGCCCTGAATTGCCAGCTGTCTCCAGCAGTGTTGAACGAGACTGTACATGAGCATATGTTCAGATCGTTTTGCATGTGAATTATATGTTCACATATTAATAGTAACTTAAATACTAACACACTCTCATAACTTTGCTCAAGAAAGTACAATACTTGGTTGTAGTCATCGTATTACACGCCGGGACAAAGTTCCTGGTCGAGTCTCCTGTAGATGAATGAAACTGAAAGTGTGTTGACTTAAAGACGTCAGAACTACATTATTATCCTCACCCTTATGTTTTCCTGTTAATACTGTTGGAAGATGAAAATAGCAGATAGATTATTTAATACAGACTAAAATAAACAGGTGAAAAGATTTGTGGAGAGAGAGACCTACAGTACAAGAAGAGAATCTGAAGGCCTCTCATCCAATCTATTGCGGAGGATCGCCAACAGACCTGCTTGTTAACTGGACGAGTTTAACACACGGCACTTTGGCTTTGGCGCCAGAAGTGGGGATATGTAACTCATATGATACAATTTACCCCTGAATCCCTTAAATACTTCCGACTCACTGTATCTGCACTTTGTTAACTCACCATTCAAGCATATTAAATCTGTTCCACTTATTTTCTTTATCTCTCCCTATACTCTCACTGTTGTTATAATGTTATTACTGCACTTCAACAACTAAGGTCTTTAAGCGTGTAAAAAGGTTAGTAATATACTAATTCAACAATAATAAAACAAATATGAGCGATAGAACTCTGTATTATTCCCACAGCAGTCTGCTACAGATTGAATTCTAGACTATTATGCATCTACACGATTTATACGTTTATGAAATATTTGTATTTCAGTGAAATATTTACTGTTTTATTACAATAATTTCTGAGTGTCAAATGTATTGTTAAATTATTGAAATTAAACTTGTAATAAGCTTAGGAGAAATAGATTAGTTCCACCAAATTTTTAATTCATTTTCTTTCATGAGTTGCAAAGAAAACGTAAGACTCGGTGAATTAGTAACCGGAAGCCCTTCTCATTTCCCCCACCGAGTGGCGCGTCTGCTACACTTATAGTATAGAAAGTTATACTAGTATATTAGACTCACAGTATATCGGCCTGATGGTCTAGTGGTATGATTCTCGCTTAGGGTGCGAGAGGTCCCGGGTTCAACTCCCGGTCAGGCCCTGATTATTTTCGTGTGAAGCAAAATTCTTATTGTAGTACAATCGCTTAACATCAATTATTTTTTTTAGTTATCTTCATATAGCAGATAAAAGTATACCAAATTTGGTAAAGTTCTCTTAGGATATAAGGACAAATTTCAGCAAGTTTCAGTGAAATCACGAAAATTCATGTTGGTCTCCATATGCAAATAATAGCATTGAATCGTCACAAACGAAAGCTGCTCTCGATTTTGTCAAAACTTTGTTTTGTTCACCAAGGATGAAACAGATATTATATATGTTACAGTGTTTGTAACTCTTACCCATTCCAGAAGTTACCCAGAAGTCACCCATTGGTTGAGTTGCTGTACGTTCATAGAATGTATCCACGAGAATGGAAACTACATGTGTCCACAATTCTTATTTGAGTTACCTGCCTTCCCTACTCCAGAGTAGGCAGCATGTGGACAACAATCCCTGTGTTAGCTTCCTTATGGTGGCAGTTTAACATTGGACTGTTGGAAGCTATAGATAACATTGATTCATGCATATTGGTAAAGAAGTCATTCGAATTGACCGGGAGTGTTGTTTGGGCAGAACTCTTTCTTCGAACAGCCAATCCCCTATTTTTGTGGGTCCTTCGGGCTGTTCCCACACAATATCCGGTATTGAAGCATCCTTCAGATTCCTCTCTTGGTACTGAACAATGACAGCTCCATAAAGATTTTGCAGTCATAAGACACAGGAACGCCAGGCTCTTCATTCTGCTTAAGATATTGCAGCAAATTAGGATTTTACATTTGGTAGATATAACTTGCCAAAGTCCGAGAGCGAAGGTGAATATGACTGTATTTCATGTGAAAAAAAATCTTCAGGATCTCCTTCTCAGCTTTACATGGATATATACAGTACAATTGCCTAAAGAGTTCTACTGTATTGGAAATTTCCTTCCACTTCATCCTCATATTTCGTATTTTTGCAGGATTCATTTTTCAGATACGATTTAGTGTAGTGTTGGTGGATGATGGTTAAGTGTCTTGAGACATTCATTGTCAGGACTGGGTCAGCCGCTTGTCGTTTGTCAAGCAACGTTGATATTCTGACTTGTCAAAGAGTCGTGTGGTGTGTGGCAAGAGACAGACAGGCAAACAGACGTGACTGGATGTTGTTAGACTGACTGGAATGTTCAACTGAAAAACATTCCCTATACACTTTTGTCAGCACCTGGCATCATTTACCTGGTGGACATGTAGGTAAGGGAGGTTTAGGTTCTAACATCTGTATACTCAGATTAGTTTTTGTATTACGGTACAGTGTTTTCATCATGTTGTTATTAGACTGATAAAAAGAAGAATTCAGCAGCTATAAACTAATCACATAAATCATCCACGAATACAGTCACCCATAAAAGTCCTGTCGCCTCTCCTCCTGAACCACGAATCCCGAGATTCAGACTTGTGAACCCGAAGCACTTAAAGACAGAATAATGCATCAATATCTACTGATTCGGGCTCAAGAGCCTGAATCTCGGGGTTCGTGGAATAACTGGAGAGGCAGCAGAACTTTCGTGGGTGACTATCAGATATTACCAAGTGCCGAGGGAACTTTGGCCAAGTCTGTATACATGGGTGCTTAAAATTACTGCTAAGCCAATTTAACTTTGGGTGTCTATAACTACGTATTTGATTTTGTATATATATTTATACAGGATAAGACTGCTAGAATTTGTTGTTATTATGCTATCATGATTTTGAGGTATAATCGTCTTATTAAGAGTAAACTTGCGACGGTCAGTTAAGTGGAGAAAGCTGATATGGATGAACTTCTTTATTTACACACACCAACTGATCTCGATCCCATCCTAACAGATAATTATGGTGTTCACTTCTCTTCTGATCCTGGACAACCCCTGATGTCATCTTAAAAACAATCATACATACAGTATGCCTAAAATAATTCATTTACAACCCATTTTACCTCAGGTTTAACAATGGAGTCAGGTCGACATACTGCCACAGCCTTTGCCATTTTACATTACGTCATATAAACACGAGACATTTTCTATAGTTGTGACAATATTAATATCAATATTAGAGTTAATATTAATATTAATATTAAATGTATTTATCTTATCATATGAGTTTCACTAGGTTGTCAAAAATATATTTTATGAACTGTTAAATTATGACTTTCTAAGCATATTCAATTCGTACTCATAATTTTCCTACAAGTATATGGTGTTAATAAATATTACTACAAAGATATATGACACCTGATAGATTTCCTTCACTCATCTATTTTTATTTATTTTATTAATATTTGTCTTCATATATTACAACGGAACACAAACTTGTTATGATAAAATAAGTAAAAGGTTGATGAATTTAGGGACAAACGAATGCTCCCAACTTCCTGAACTCGACCGTCCGTCAGTCACTCACCAGTGCCGGGCAGACGACGCCATTTACTGTCTCCTACATAACCTACTACTGTGCACTACCATGAACTGGTTCCCACACCTACTTTGTAAAATATTGCTAGAATAATGGCGCTACAAACATCAAGGATAAAAGCTATGGCGAGGAAAAGTGAAAGAGTTTAAAGTGTTATGCTAAGATCAACAGCTGTGATGTAAACAAACTTTACTCAAACGTATTTAAGATTTTATTGGCAAAAATATCGATAATATCAATCACATCTTCAGTGTGTTAAGTGACGATATAGCGAGTGATATTATTTTGAGACATTTAATGAGTGTTTGTGTGACAAGTGATAATTACTTATCTTGCTTAAGTGAAAATTATGATCTCGATTAAGAAAAAATAATGATCTCAGTTAAGTGAAAATAAGTGATCTCGTTTAAGTGATAGAAAATTACATCGATTAAGTGAAAACTAGTGATCACAGTTAAGTGAAAATAAGTGATAAGTGATCACAATTAAGTGAAAATAAGTGATTAGTGATCACAGTTAAGTGAAAATAAGTGATCTAGGTTAATTGAAAATTAATGATATTAGTAATTTATAATTAGAAACTTCCGATTAAGTGAAAAATTAGTGATCTCGGTTTAGTGAAAATTAATGATCTTGGCAAGTGATAATAAGTGATGGCGCTTTCGTGATAATTAGTGATCTCGCTTAAGGGATAATTTGTGATATCAGTTAAGTGAAAACTAGTGATCACAGTTAAGTGAAAATAAGTGATAAGTGATCACAATTAAGTGAAAATAAGTGATTAGTGATCACAGTTAAGTGAAAATAAGTGATCTAGGTAAATTGAAAATTAATGATATTAGTAAGTTATAATTAGAAACTTCACTTTAAGTGTTAATTTGTGATGTTAGTT